TATGATGTTTGATTGATCAATTTAAATAAATATATTTAAAAAATTCCTTAATGAGCCACAAAATAAAATAATAAAAAAAAATGAAATGCAAAAATTAAGTACATTCAAAAACAATATACAAAAGACATAAAAATTTAATTGAGTTATTTATTTACATTGCCTACTGAAGCTCAAATAAAACCTCAATTAAATAAAGAAAAAATGTATTGATGATAAAAACATACATCTGTACACCTGTAATGAAAATGTTGTTAAAGGGATCAGCTAGCATGTTAAATAAAACACTTTAATCACATATACATATGTACATGTGTAAGCCCAAAGGCTAGAAGAAAACAATTATGAGTTAAAGCTGCGAAGGCTGCGATTAATTTGAGCGGCAAGCTCATCGCTTATGCCATCTTTATGATTAGCGAGGCGGCCCAGCCGAAAGCTAGCGTTTAGATTAAACAGCAGCCACGCACACACACACACACATGCAGTTAGACATAAATATATGGATCTGGGCATGTGTGGAAGCATAAGCTAATCAAAGCTAGTTTAATGCGTGCGCCGCCAAAGTTAATCCTAATTAATTTAATTACGCTTGTGGCATAAATTATTCGACAATGTGCAAGAAGTAGTTGGCTGGCACACATGCCACAGACACACACACACAGACTAACACATGCACATTCCATCTTTACATATATGTATATGTATTAGACACAATTAGACACAGTTGGGGTTTCGCGACGCCTCCATTAATTGTTATTAATTGCTGTTGCCAAAAGTGTGCAGTGAGCTGAGCTCAAAGTGTAAAAGGCCGCCAGAAGAGAATGCCAAGTGGCGAAATGGGAAAACGAGAAAATAGGAAAATGACAAAATGTTCAAAGGTGTATTAGATATTTGAATGAATTGACAAATATGAAATCATTGAAAGTTGTTGTCCACCTACTTTACTGCTGCGTAAATGTATTTTATTGAAATATTGTACCTGACACAGGCCACTGCAGCGCCGCCTCCTTCCACACCCTGGACAGGACGACGAAGGGAGGGAGGGAGAAAAAAAACACTTGGCATTGCCATGCTCAGCACGTGCAAGAAATTGTCGAGATGGCAAATAGTTTTCCAACAGCTACAGCAACAAGGACTGCAAATAGAGAAAAACTGCAAATGTCCCACTGACTGACTCCCACTGACTTGGCCAGGACACAGGTATGGCTCGGGCTCTGGTTCTGGCTCTGGCTCTGCTCCTCTTCAAATAAACTCGAAAATTATTGTTTTTGTTTTCGTTACACTTGAGTTTTCTGCTTGTCGCAAAACTTTTATTAGGTGTCTGCATTTGCTGCCAATATTTCGGGTCGCCTCTTACAATATTACCTCCGGGTAACAACAGAGGGGCGGAGCAGAGCGCAGCGGACGGAACGGGGCGGCACGGCTGTCTGAGTCGATCGCAAGATGAGAGATTTTAATTAAAATAGTCTTCGTCGGCCCCCGAAAACTAATAAATCAAGGC